CAAATTTATTGACATAAATTCATAAAATAGTAGTTCAATAAAATTTTGAATGCGAGTCAACAAATAAGATGACATGGGCTTTCACCTGTGACCTGTCTCGAAAGGGTTAATACAATGAGAAATATAATTTTTGTTTTTATTGGCTCAGTAAGCATTATAATATACATGAAAAGCATTTATTATCAATAATATATCATTTAGAAATTGGTGGACTGAAGGTGATACCCTCCCCTTGTTAAAAACATTCTAGTTGTGCACCTGTATTATTCAACGTGTTTTTTATTATTTTCTATGGTATAACATTATTTTTATGCTAATGAGACATCTGATTAGTCTTATATTTTTTCATCCACTTGTAGCAATGCTCAAAATCATACCGATCATTTGAGCACCTAACAGTCTCATTGGATGTTTATACCTTTTCTTACTATGGCTAGGGTATGACTTGTTTCAGGTCTCCTTCAGGATGATCCTGGTACTCAAAGTTGATTCATTCCTTTGTTTTTTTAACCCTATTCACATGGGTCAAAAGTGGCCTCATTGCATTTGACTTGCATTCAAAATTTTATTGAACTACTATTTTATGAATTTATGTCAATAAATTTGGTATCAAATTGTAGATTATAATTCAAATGTTAGTATTATATATATTATTTAATTTGAAAGTAAATATTAAAAAAACATACCTAGATATTGATTTTTGTTTGTCACATGGTATGTTAAATGCATCATTGGTTCAAATTAGGTATTTATGATATCTAAATACAAAATCTATAGTTACTTACGAATTAGGAACTCAAATTACTGATATTGGCAAGCTAGAATATCAAATAAGAACCTCCTATGTTTTCTATTTGCTGAGATATTGCTACATGTACTGAATCACAGTAGCCCTGCCCACCTCTTTCCATCTTTGGAAAGACGTGCTTATGTACACTTACTTCTGTCTGTGGTGTGTGAATAACCAATTGAAAGCTCAGAATGTTCCCTTAGTGGCTTTCTCAATGTAATTGAATTATTCAGGCACCAAACTTGTTCTTTTAAATCTTAGATATGAAAAGGTAAGGTGAAACTTTAGTGAGCTCAAAATTTAATATTTTTTTTTTAGACCCAAATAAAGCTTAGTTACTGAGTTTGATAAATTATAGTGGTATTGATATAGTAATTTATGCTTTTTAGTTATTTCTAAATGTATATATAGAACTTCAAAAAAATTATTTCATTTCACATCCTCCACATGCAAATTTTGATAAGGCTTAGCAACCTACGGCAAGCAACAAATGAGTACAAAGTTCATAACTAGAAGATATAATTGTGTGCTTTACTTATTTATTTACTGTTCTTTGTTTTAAGAAAAGTAAGTTTTGAAACTTATTTATAGATAGTAATAATGTATATACATATGTAATGTATTATAACTGAAATGTGACTGTATTTTGCAAAATACTAGCCCACTAAAACACAGCCATCAGAGGTCACTTTGTAAAGGTCAGTTTTATACTCTTGGATATGGTAACATGAGTGCACATGCACCACATCATTGTAACTTCTGTAATGTTAGCCAGGCACAGCTGAAAGGTCAATATAATTAAAATAATAAATATATGTAAATGAATAATGCTATGAGATTTAAACTATTTTGACTAAACATTTGTGTTTTTGTGTTATAATTTGTAGTCATTCTCGAATGAAAAAACATAACTTGTATTCATTTCCTAATTTTTGATGGTGGTTACGAGATCAGTCAAATCTACTGAACCCATACAGAGATTCGATAGTGCAAATAACAAATAAAACATAAAGTTTTGCTTGAAAAACATTTGATAATTATCTGGAGTTTATAAAGATTTCACATGTAAAATTTTAAAATTTTCTGATGCATAAAAGTATTTTTAGTCTCAAAATCAAAATTACTTTGCATCTTGGATAGTCAACATGCCAAAAGAAAAAAGCATAAGAAAAACATTACTTAAAAAATCTTAAAACTTGGGGAAAAAAATCTGATATTTTGAAAATGAAAGCTATGTAATGTTTACTGATAATCTTCCAAATTTCATTAACATATGCTTTCTAATTTAAAAGTTATAGCATGAAAACTCTAACAAGCACAAAATGGTTACAAGGTTGGTCCTAAGGACTGAGCCTGTGCTGAAAGTGTTAATGCCATTATCTACAAGGGATATCTCTTTCTTGGAAATTTTAAATCTTTAATCTGAGTGTATGAATGTTTTGGATGACAAAGAGCTTTTACATACCTTTCCAAAAACATTAAATTTTCAGTGGCATTAAGTTATCTCAGTACATTTGTATGCCAAATAATGTCATAATATAGTTCTGATAGATGCTGCTCCAATGCAACTTTATATTGGCTGTGGTTGTCTCATAACTTGTTGATTTGCATATTCATAATATTTTTTATATAATATACTTAACCCTCTATAGTTGTAACAATAAATCCAATAGCTTTCTTTTTGTAAAATGGCTGGTTGTTTAATAATCTGGTTTGTGCATAAGATTAATTGTTACTTAATTTACTTTTTTACTGTGAATAAGGCTACAAGCAATACATAGGATATATGGGTTTGGTAAGAGTGATGTGATTGATCCTATATTTATCTGTTTCTCCAAATAAAGGTAACATCATTTTGTTAACATCCTGCCCTTGGAGATTTATTCCATCTTTTAAAAGTCAGGAGTCTCAATAAGGTAGAATGTGTTTTAAAAGTAAGGCTATATCTGACCAGTGTACATCTTGTATTGAATGTACAACTTATGATGATCGTGATACATTTTGACATGCACACTTAAACCAAGTTATTTCTAGAATTATGATATCTTGGGGATTACAATGTTTGTGTGCATTGTTCTCATTGGCATATGATGATACTGAGTATATTACAAGTACAGTATTAATAATATGTTGTAATAGTTTATATAAATTTATAATTAGACCAGAGCTTGTAGTGGACGTAAGACACTGAAGACAGCATGCTGATTGGTAATTTGTTTGTTACATTACAAAAATTATATCAGAAATCTTCAAATACCAATAACTTTGTGTATAATTACAAAAAGTACATTACAGGAATAAGTTGAAGCTCCATATATGTTGTTTCTAAATTATTCGAGGTTCACACAACAGTATCAAAGTATTTTGGTGGTCAAGTTAGCTTGTACTCTTAAATCAAGTAAGTCATAAAAAACCTAATGAAAGTGATGGTTTTGAAATGCTTGGGTATGTCACGTCAGAATGGTTATCACTTTTTGGTCTCAACACAGAACTGTTAGTCCAGTGGTTGTACTGTTAAGCCTAAATGATTTAGCTTTTTGAACAACAAAAAAAGAGGTGAAAAACAGCACTATATGAATCATGTTCTTTAACCATAAAAATCGTTTAGAAGAATTACTGCCTATAACATAATTCTTTTAACTTGAGAAAGTTGTTAATATATATTTTAACTTCCTGATATTAAAATCACTTGATTCTGTATATGGAAAGATTAAATTATAATGTATTTTATATGTGATAATGTGGCCATTGTCACTGTAGATACACAACAGGCCATAACTGTGAAACCTTAATGTAACAAAAATTCAAGCCATCCTTTAGCTGTTTTTTTTTACACTAAGAGACACAGCTCTCAAAATGGAAATAATAATCTGATGAAATGCATATGTAGTTGCTATGATACAGTTTTTATTTTGGTAGCCCACACATGGTACAGAAAGAGTACCTTAGAGTAAATCACCCAAATATTTTGATGATCAGGGTTAAGAAAGGAAAGATAATATTCATTAATCAAATATTTACTACATATGTCTGTAAAAGAAAGGAAATATATAACTGGAAAGTTCTTTTTTGCCTGATCTATATAATTTCTGCAAGAAAATGTAACATGCTTATACTATCCACTTACTGAGTATTTTTCTGGTTATTATTTTTATGCTTTGAAAAGTTCAAATGAATGTTTTTCAAGATTTTTTATAATTTTTTCAATTATTGTAGAAATTGGTACTGTGTAGTAACCTTTTCTTTGTTGCTTTGCACAATAGGGATGTAAATTACCAGGATAAACAGGGTAGGACAGCACTTCATTATTGTGCTGTGCAGTCATCACCCATTGCTACAGAAGTAATAAAAATTCTTATTCAACATCATGCTAACCCAGGTTTGTTTTGGCATTAAGGTGCATTATTCCTATATTAACCAACTAGTAAAGTAGTATAGTCTCTACACTACTTTGTTTACTTACCATTAGTTTATTTAGTTAAACATATAATAAAATGTTCACCAGAATTGAAAAAGAGAATGATTTATACAAAACCTGATCCATAAATGTTAACATCTATTTTGAATTTATTGGCTCAAAATGTGATGCAAATACTAAATTTAACACTCTTCTGAAAAAAATATGTAGTGTTCTATTATCTTTTCAATAACAGCTTCTACGCTCTTTGCAAAATATAAGTTGAATTTTCTTATATGGTCCTAGTATTAAGTTTGTGCTTTGAAGTATAAAATATCACTTATGCACTTTTTTCTTATGCTTATAATGATTTTCTTGTCTTTCAGAATTTCCATAAAATAAAATTCATTACAATAACATCTTCTGTTAGACATTTTACATCTTTTGCTATCTGTCCATCTGTTCTATAGAACTTTATGTTTAAAGTGCCTTGCTATGTGAAAAAATACTAAACTATAAGCTAAAGTAAATACAGTTTTTAGATGTATAACTTTATTATTAATTAGGATTTGTTATGTTTTTGTTATCACAGTAAAAATATTTGCTACCTTATAATGCATATAAATTATGTTAATACTACATTCCAACAATGGCTTTTATGTCATGTTGCCTAGCAATAAAAGTATAACCTAATATTGTTGTTAGTCTGTGTACTGAAAGTATAAAATGAAATGTATAGACAACAAAATTGAAAAAATATTTGTTGATTTCTTAACTTAGAGTCTTTATTGAGGTTTGTATTTTGTTGGTGATGTAACAGAAAATAGCTTAATTCAAAAATGATTAAAGTATAAAATTGAATCAATATTTCTAATTTTATGATAAATTTTATGCACTTGGCTCTAGGCTAGGTAAACCCACACTACATTTTTACTTTAGGCTTATTATACCAACACTCACTACACTTGTAAGGTTTCACGGCACCATTGCATCCCCGTCAGTAAAATTGTAATAGGCAGACAGTAATTAAACTATTATATCTGGATAAATGCATTTTGACTTTTATTACTCCTCCTATTTCAAGAAATCGGGCATGACGTGACTTACACTGGCTTTTATATAAGTTAGATATGTACAATTGAGTTAATGAATAATTTTAATGAATGGTAAAACTTTTTTTACATGTGAAGTTACAGTTTACTCTCTATTGTTACATATATTTTAAATGTTCTTCATGAAAATGTTAAATAAGTATAAATGTTGTTAAATAAATAAGATATAAATGAGATTTCTAAGAATCACAAAAATCCCTGGTATTGGGCAAAATGCTTCATTGGTACTGGATATTGTAATTATAGTGTTGTTGAAATAATCTTCCTTTCTTTCATTCATAAGTTCTTAGAACTGTATTAATTGGGTAAGATAATTCTTATTATTTGGTTTCTTTTTTGATCTATATATATATATATATACACAACAGAAACGTGTGTCTGTTTGTCTGTCTGTCTGTCCATTATATAACTACTAGGTTGCTGTGCCAGTCTCAACAAAACTGTGGGATGATAGTTTGGAACAAGGGGCATGTTAATGGGGTTTACAACCTCCTCTACTTTCCATTATTGCTGTTATTTAGCATTTATTTGACATAAATTGACATTAGCTACACTCATAAGTGATGCCATGTCCTTACACCAAAACAAAAAAAAATTATTAAATTTTCTATAACACAAGATTCCGATATTGTACATTACCTCCTCTCACATAAATAGCTATTATCATTCAGTGCTGCCCTCTATATGCAAGATATGTTTTCGTATGTCACAAGCCATTAAGCTCCCACCCATCTTTGAATCAACTGATTCAAATGCGCCTCTCATGCAGATCATCATGCGACAACTCTCCACCAATAAGAGTGCGACACACACACTATTCAATTCTACCAAACTTCTTGTTTGGCAGTACTCATGTTGTAATGTTTAGTTTGTGCTCTTTTCAAGTGTTTATTTTTATCTTTTTCCATATCTTTGTATTACTTTATCTCAACATGTTTTCTCTTTATTATACAATAGCAATATTTATACCTTGTTGAGTTATTCCAAAGTATAATTATTTTATATTTCTATCTGGTTACAGAACTTCTCACTTCATTACAAATAATTTTTTTTTTTCTATCTGCCAACACAATGGTGTTTAGTTATTCATTTTGCATTATGAATTCTATGTCACCATTTCAAAGGTTATATGTTCTATCAACACACTTACTCAGGCTTCAGGTAGTGGTACTATGCTGGAAGATTTTCAGCTTTACCTCATCAGACTGATCGTCCAATGACCTGATATTTGTTGGGCCTTACCTCGAGTTTAGGGGCCCCTGCATTTTGACATACAGTCCACTAACTTTGGAAAGATAACACATTATACTGTTATGTTTTGAACAATTTTATTTTTAATATTATTATCTGTAGTTATTTGGGTTCCATAACATAAGTTTCATTAGATTGGTCAATACTTGTATTCAAGTTCAGGTTAGCAATTAGTCATAGTTGTATCTTTTCTCCTATACCATTTGCTTAGTCTTACCATGGTCTTTGTTATTTTAGGATTACCTGTAATTCATCTTACTAGTATATCAAACATTAGTTTAACTATATCATTTTTCTTCAATACATCACCTCTCATACATATGTTATTTTTACTACACACTTACTTCATTTTATACAGTAAGGTCTATTTTATTTTCTTTATTTTTTATCTTTAAAACTTCCTCATATTAACTTGGTTTGTGTGGAACCTTGAGCCAGGGTCCATACAAGCTTCTCCCAATATTGTACATGCTTGTTATTAGGTTAAGATTTTTATTTTAGTGCTTAGTGAAAACCTTTGTTCTGTTCTGTTCTATTATGCTTAACAAGTTTGTTATTTTTGGTTTACCTGTAGTTCTACTACCAAGTTAATCGATAATTAGGTTAAATATCTTGTTCAATTAGGCTTAACAAGTGTCTGTTATTTTTGGTTTACCCGTGGTTCTGTTTACAGGTTAATCGATAATTAGGTTAAATACTTTTTCTTCAACACATAACATCACATACATATGTTTATTTCATTAAGAATTTTTTAACATTTCCACTATATCGACTATTTCATTTCTGTCTTTCTTTATAGTTTATACTTCTTACCATTAACTCTTCCAACATGGGATTGGTCGATTTGACTGAGTCACGTGACCTTCTGTACTCGTTTAAAGTTGATATAAATTTAATACTTATAACTCTATATATATTTGGTATATCTTCACGAAATTTGGCAGTCTTTCAGTTAATATTACAAGTCTTTCACATACAAAAAGTCACATTTCTTAGTGAAGTACTTTTACTAAAATAAAATAAATGTCCATGAGTATATTGAATATTTGTTTTGAATAGTCCATGTGCAAAGTAATTTTCATGTTAAAATTAAAAGTACTTTTTGTCATCTCAAAAATATCACA